GAAAATAAACCCTTCTAGGGTATGCCAAAGTGACCAGCCTCCTCTAACCCTGTCCCACACACCTCCAGTTTCCACCCAGTTAGTTCACTCAAACCAGGACAGACTGATTAGGTCATAGCTCTCACAATCTAGTCATTTCACCTCTGCATATTCCTGTGTTAACACAGGAGAATTGGGGGGACACCTCATATCCAAAAAGTAATATTTTGCCCCTGGTCCCCCAAAAAGCTCATATCCATCTCACAATGTAATGTGCACTTGCTCCGTTTTCAAGAGTCCCAAAAATCTGAATAATTCCAACATTGACCAAAAGTGCAAATGCAAAGTCTCCTCTGAGTCTCAAGGCAAACTCTTGGCTGTGAGCCCTATAAAAATCAAAAGCAAGTTACTTATAGCCAATATATTGTGAAACAGAGCAACCATTCCCATTTCAAAAGAGATGAACACAAGCACAGGAAGAAAAGACCAAAGCAAGACCAAAACTCAGCCATGCAGATTTTAGGTGCTGTAGCTCCCTGTCCCGCATCTGGGGCATGTGCCGGGGAGATGTTCTCTCCAAGGGGTGTGGGAAATACCGCCCCTCTGGCCTTGCTGATTTCAGGGCTCATGTCCTCTCTCTCAGCCTGGTTCTCTCCACGGCTTACAGTTCTCCTCAGCCAACAGTCCATGTTACTGGCATCTCTTAATCTGGAAGGTCTCCATTGCAACCTTGACTTCCCTCTCATAGCTACACACACCACCTGTCAGGGGCTGCCTGCAGAGATTGCAACCCTTTGTCTGGCCTCCTAGGCCTTCCTTCAAAATCTGAATGGAAGACTCCAAGACCCCCTAACTTCAGCATCCTGCCGTCCTGCAGAACTAGCACCAATCATATGGACAATTCCAAGATCTGTCTGCAGCTTGAGCACTAGTCAAGACCACCCTTGGACCCAGGTTGCAATGGCCTCTGAGTGATTGGGTGGCTGAGCACAGTGAAACAAATCCTGAAAAAACAACTTTTGAGAACCTTTGTGGGTACAGGGTGCCCCCACGGGAGGAGCTTTCACTTCTATACCCTTGAGCCTGTGATGTGTGTGATTTTACACATTCCTAAGATGCCCTCAAAGCACTTTCCTATTGTCTCAGTGCAAAGTACTTAGCACCTCTTGAGTAGCTGTAATCTCATAACTACCACAGCTTCCTTGGCCCCAATTTTATGCACACTATACTGGCCAAACTGAAGAAACATTTTAAAAATTCCCCTTCCTTGTTTTTTCCTCCTGATTCTCATAGTAAATGTCACTAAAAGCTTCCAGCAAAATCCATGCCACTGCCTAAATGCTGTGCTGCCTTGAAATTTCCTCCAGATTAATTTAATGAATCACTTTAAGATTTAGTCTCACACAATCTCAGGACATGGACAAAATATAGACAGCTTCTTTGCCAGAATGTAACATGAGTGGCCTCTACTCCAATTTCCAATAGAGTCCCCATTCCCCTCTGAAATCTCATGACTGTAGTCTTTACTGTCCACATTCCTCTTGGCATTTTGGTCTTCTGAACTCCCACCAGAATTTCTCATTAAGCTCTGATTACAAAATTCTAAGACTTTTTCTTCCTATGTTGCCAAACTTTTCCAAATTCTTCCCACAGACCAGTTCCAAAGGCTTTTGAACCACATGTTCAGTTTAGTCACTGCAATACCCCCACTCCTGGTACCAATTTCTGTGTTAGTCATTTTTTTTTTTTTTTGTAACTGTGACCAAAACCTGATAACAACAACTTAGAGGAGGGAAAGTTTATTGTTGGCTAATGGTTTCAGAGGTTTAATCCCTGATAGGCCAACTCCTTTGCTCTGGGCCCATGGTGAAGCAGAACAGCATGGTGGAAGGGCATGATGGAGGAGTTCTGCCACATTCATGGTATCCAGAAAGCTGAGAGAGGAAAGAGAAGGGGCCACAGTGAAAATGCACCCTTCCAGGGCATGTCTCCAGTGATCCACCTTCTCCAGCCATGCCCATCTGCCTACAGTTACCACCTCGTTAGTCCACTTAAAATAAGATGCACTATTAGGTTACAGCTCTCACAATGTAATAATTTTACCACTGAAAATTCCTGCATCAACCCAGGAACATTTGTGGGACCCTTCATATTCCAAACCATAACACTAACCTAAAGTCACAAAGATGTCCCCCCTTATATTTCCTCTTAAAAATTTTATGTTTCCTATTTAGGTTTATGATTCATTTAGAATTCATTTTTGAAAATATGTGTGAGGTATGGATTGAATTTGCCCTTTTGTACATGGATAGCCAGTTCCTCCAAGGATTCTTTCCTAACCTGAGTTGATTCTGAGCAATACCTGGGAAGCCGTCAGCTGGACAAGTGAAGGCAGAGGGAAGGACAGGGCAAAATCATGGTGGCAGGAGTAGCAGAGAATGTGGTCATGGAGCCATGTGAGTTCTGTAGAGAGTAACAGGTAGTAGAGGGGTACTAGAGGATTTGGGCAGAATCTCAACCCTGGAGGACCTGGCATGCCCTGGCATTTCCTGGAGTGTTAGAACTGGGAGTATTCTTGGAGACTATCAATTTAATTTTCTCTTAGGTTTATGTCCAGGCAGATGAAAGTCCAAATAAAAAAATGGATGTTATTTAACTATAAGCTCTGATTATTACCTGGACTACCTGTTTTGCTAACCAGAATTACCCAAGACAAAAGGGAACGTTTAAGCAACAACAATTCAAAGAAGTCACGATCTTATGGAGAAAGTGCTTACGCTCTATTTTTAAGCAGGACTTGATCCCCACCCAGAGGGTACTGAGAAATAGACCAACAACACCTTGGAGAGAGAACTCAAATAGTGTGCGGATTCTCTGACCCCAATATTTTTTTATCAGTGTTGGAGAGGAAATTAGGGAAGTTATTCTTTAAATGTGTAAAAGACTCCAAATTAAGAGCCTGGGTTGAATGAGAATCGGGATCCCAGAGGGTGCCTGCAGCTGAGAATTCTCACCAAATTTAATGAGAAGCCATTTAAACAGGCCGAATGCCAGCTAGGTGTGGGGGTGCACGTCTGCAGTCTCTAATACCAGTGACAACTGGAGTTCAAGACAGGAGGATCACAAGTTCCAGGCTAGCCTGACCACTTAGTGAGACCCTATCTCAGAATAAATACAAAGTAAAAAGTTCTGGGATGTAGCTCAGTGTAAAGTGCCCTTGGGCTCAAACCCTAGCACAACACACACACACACACACACACACACACACACACACACACACACACACGACTTAATGTCAAGTTTTACACTTGTATTCACAAAGCAGCTGAACAAAGCAGTGGGGTTTCAAAGCACTGTAACAGCTCGTGGGATCTGAGTCATGGTGTCTAAGGAAAGGCATCCAGTGGACCACAGCCCACAGGAAGAAGAGAACAATTGTGAGTCTCATGGGGAGAATACCAGGGTTTTAACCCAACATTAGCTTGTATCAGCCAACTGAAAATCCTTCCATTGTGGGAACCAAGATTTAAGATAGATACTGTTATCAGATATGGACTCCAAAGCCAGACTCTGCAGGTTCAAATCCCAACTCTATCTCTTAGTGGCTGTGTGACCTTGGAAAAGTTACTTCACTTCTCTGAGTATGAATTGTTATTATCTATAAAATAGGAATAGTAACAGCATCATAGCTTGTGAAGAAGTGTTAATGAGAGAACATAAGAAACATAGAAAGTGCTTAGTTTGTGCTATGTAGGAATCAGCTCTAGTAGTAATTTAGTTTCAATTTACTGATGACTTAATTGTGTGGGTCGACATTTTATTTACTTTCTGTAGATGACAGAAAGTTTGAGGTTCAAAGGGTTGTGGTTCAAAGGATTGAGCATGGAGCCCATTCACAGATAACCTTGAAATGACATGGAATTGAACTCAGGTCCCGCTGACTCCAAGTAGACCATTTCCACTATTACACGGCCCTGTCCTTTGAAGTTGATTGCAAGGAGAACTACAGGATAGCGTTCAAAGTCATTTCATGAAGTGTGACAGAGTGAATTAAGGGGCAGGGTAGTTGAATGTGGAAGATAGTAGTCATGAAGAGGATTTGTTTGGGGCGGAAGTCATTTTTATCCAATGGAAATACATTTCCCGTTGATCTACCAATCATGCTTTCTAGAGATGAGATGGGAGCTTTGTGCAATCTGGAGTTCCCCATGGATGGAGCTGTTCAAGATGGGGGGTTAAAATTCCAGAGGTTCAGTCCCTACATAGGTGGTTGAAATAGATTTTTTTGTGTGTGTGTGTGTGTGATGCTGGGTATGGAACCCAGGGCCTTGTGCAGACTATGCAGGTAAGTAGATGCCTTTTAAAGCTACTTGGAATGCAGTCATTGTCTCGCCTCATCTTTGAACCCTGGTATCTTGGTTTTCCAAGTAATTTTAATGACATTAATATTTCCTGATTCTAAAGGACATTGTGAGGGTTAAGGAAAAAAGTGCTCATTAAGCACACCAAGATCCGGAGAAGAAATGCAGCATTTTAAGATAAACTATTATTATAACTATTATAACACTCTATGTAATTGCCAAGTGGATAATGGAACCAAGAATCGGCTCAACTCATGTACATAACAAACTGTGATAATTTCTTAGAACCAAATGTGTTTATTGTGTGTGCCCAAGTATTGCAGTTCATAATTTCGGTTATAGCCAATTTCTTATTGCCGAGCATTTGCTCACAAATTATTTGGAGGTTTCAAAACCAAAACACAACAAAAACTAAAGCCATCTTGCAATGGATTCGGGACTCACTGCAAGAATTTCCTACCTGTAAATGCTGAAATTCCTGGTGCTGAGATAGAAAGTCAGTTACTGGGAGAGGAACCGCATTGAGGCCTCACGGGATACGGTGATGCTCCTTTCTGGTGGGCGGTTTGGGAGAGAGCTCCGTGGCCCTCGTCCATTTCAAGTTTGCTTCTCCAGCCAATGACGTTGGCATATTTTTGTCAGTTGGGCCAATGAGGCTTAATTGCCTGCTAATTTTGTACTGGATTGAATTAATTTCAAGACCCAATTAATTAAAACAGATGAAGCTCCTGTTATCTATTATTCATGAGCTTGTTGGAATAGGAAGAGGCCCAGTAGTTGCAGTAAGGATATTACACTGTTTCAGTGAACTTTTTTGGTGCCCGGGAAGGGTCCTTGTGAGGAGTCCCACATGCCGTCTCCAATTCGTGGCTGTGACAATGCTCCGGTTTGCTCTGGGAAAGGACCTGCGAATGTAGAAATGGCTGTTCTGAATCACGGACTTCAGAAGGTAAGAGGCAGTTGGGTGCAGGGCAGAAGGCAGAGGCAGATTTGCACACTGCAGGAAAAATATTCTGCTGCAAATGAAGCCTCTTGGCCGGTCAATCTCCAGGTCCAGCTGACTAATCAGCAGCATGGAGAAAAGCAAGATGGAGATGAAGGATGGAGAGCAAGCAATGGCTGATGTCGGGAAGAAGGAGGTTTGTTTCTCACAGTCTCCATGTTAATGTTTGTTTCACGTGCGATTCTTTTTTAAATCATTTATGTATTTGTTTATTTTTCTAATCTGTGACACACGATGAAGACACGAGTGGACTAGCCCTTTCTGCCTGCCAGAGACCGGTCCTCAGGAGACGGATTCCACCCGGCTGAGATGCCTACTCAGAAACTCACCCAGAGTTGGTCTGTTTAAAATCAGTCTCCAATGAAAACCAAATGAGCGGACCCCGTGGGAATGACGTTGGCAGCCTGCAGTGGGGGTGCGGGCTCCTGGGCTCACGTGTCGCAGACTCCAAGTCCCCCCTCCCCCGCCAGACTCTCCTTGTTATTCTTCACCAACAACATAGCCAAGACCTCTCTGCAGGGAATGAGTCTCTGTCCTGGGAGATAATCACGGGCCCAGTTTCCAGGTCTGGAAGGAGCATCACAATCCATTCTTGTTAGGTGTCGGGGCAGCGGTCAGACGTGGGCGGGCTCAGGGAGACCTTTTTGAGCGCCGGCTACCTGTCCACACAGAGCCAGGGACGAAACTGGGCGTGTGAGTTCCTGTCCTTGGAAAGGTTCTAGCCTCATCCAAGCATCTTTCTGGGGCCGGGTGGGAGGAGAGGAGACAGGGACAGTGGCTCGGCCCAGACACAACATGAACAGGTGCTTCTGCCAGAACCACCCATGGGTGATGACCGCACAGGTTCTGCAGAAAGGCCTCGAATAGGCCAGATACTTCCAGATATTTCTAGATACTCTGCTCCCTTGGCCGGCGTGAATACTGACTTGGGCTTTAGAAAATACCCACAGAGTAAGAGGAACAGGGACCCGGCATCTGTTGAATATCTAACATTTACCAAGCCTTATCCTCTCTCTTTGTCCTGACCACCATGGGAGGAGCCAAGTGCTATTTTTCCGGAAGCTTCTGTTGCCGAGGCCAACGAGCAAACTGCGGTCCGGGACGGGGGAGTCGCCTGGCTGACATCGTGGGTGGGTCCGACTTTTCCATGTTGATGTGAGACCCTGAAGATCAAAGCAGCAGGGGACATGGGTGGCCCTGAGGTGAGAGGGGCAGGGACAGTGCGAAGGGAAGGGGAGGGGGCCAGGAGCGCAGCTGCGTGTCGGCTGGAGTAGGAGGGGGCATGCAGTCCTGAGTGGTGTTTCTGCCCTGCCGCTGGGGAGGTGAGAGACTCTGGGGAAGGATGTGCCTAGCTGGCGGCAGTGAGGACCAGGAGGAGGGAGGGGGAGACGGGAAGGTGAGGTCCTGTAGAATGACTCTAAGTCACACCTGCAGCACCCTCCTCCAGACAGATTCAGTTGATAACGAGCACCCTTAGAGTGGGAGATGGGAGAGGTAAGGAGAAGCTGAGTCTGAGTGGGTAAGCACCCCAGGAAACCCTGGAACGTGGCTGTGTTTGCCCTTCAACTTGAGGGGCCTCTTACCAGTGCTCCAGAGGAGTGCTCCAGAGTGCTCCAGAGTGCCCCAGAGTGCTCTCTGAGTGTTTAGAAAAATGATCCTCTGCTGACTGTATCTGGATACATTCTGATGACATCATAGCAGACATCTGGGGAATGCTCATGATCTGCCAGGCACACCGTCACTTAGCCTTCCCAAAGCCCCGAAGGATGAGCGTGACAATGGCCGTTGTCATTACCGTCATGCCTTTCTTAGAGAGGTTGAAGCCAAAGCTCAGCGATAACCCAGAGAAAGCCACCCAAGACCCTCGCTGGACTTTACTGTCTTCCTTCTGGGACCTTTTTCTTTTTGGCTTCTGAATCTGTCCCTTCTGCCACACCAACTGAGTACAGTGACTGGGAAGCCTCAAAGAGGAGTGATATGTGTGCATTCCTTCCTTCCTTCTTTTCTTCCTTCACTCAGGAAATGTTTTCAAGCTTCCTGTGTGTATCAGGTAGAGTGTTGGGCTCTGGAAGGAGAGTGATAAGCAAAAACCCCACGGTCTCCAGACTGCTTACAGCCTAGAGGAACAGACAGGAGGTGAGGAAACAGCCGCGGACATTAATGCACAGCTGTCGTGAATGCCCACACTGTTCTGTGCAGTGAGCTGCTCAGGTCTGCATGGCTGAGAAGGTTCTTCTAGCATCGATGGGCACTGCGCTGTGTGGGCCCAGAGACAGGAAGACCAGGCCATGTGCAGGAGTGTAGGGGTCCAGGTCTGGGTGGGTCAGCAAGCCTGGGAGGAGGCAGAACTGAGAAAGGGGAGAAGGAGAAGGCAGAGAGTGAAAAATAGCCCAAGCCCACCTTCTAGCACTGCCCGGCTCACTGTGTGGACAGCAGGCACTGTTGGGAGGAAGCTTTTGGGGGAAGAGAAAGGCTCAATTGTTAGGGGTCCTGATCTACTTGTGACTTAACCCTTTTCCTTATTTCTATTTTCGTGAGTGGAAAAGCAAGGACTCCAGCCCTCCTGTGGCCTGGGGGGAGCTGGGGAGGCTTTGGGGAGGAAAACGGGCTCTGTGGGGGCTGCAGGCTGGATGGGCATGCGAGGGGCATCTGTGGGCCAGCTTCATTCCAAGCCAGGAAGCCCGGGCCTCTCCACCTGCCGCTGGGGTGCAATGGTATTGCCAATATTTTAAGTTGCTCGGGAGGGAGATAGCATGGTCCGCAGCGATGTCTTCAGCTGTGAAGGAGAACAGAGACTATATCTACACATCCCAGTATGTCACCGGACTCTTAAAAGAGTAGCCAGGCGTCCTGGCTGTAACGGCCCCTGCAGAGCTCTCTCTGGAAAGCACTGCAGTGGCTGCGGGCTGCGTCCTGCAGGAAGCACACGGGAGCACAGGCACTCTCCACTGTCATTTTCAAATCACTGCCATTATTTGATACCTGCTGCTTCCCCTTTGCCAGAAAATGCATATACCTTAGGTCAGGAAAATAACATTTTTTTTTTCCCTAAAAGGCCCTTGATTGGGTAGAAGACTTAAGAAGAAAGATCATCAACTTCTGTTCTCCACGGGCTGGGAATTTTTTGGTTTCTGCCTGTGAGTTCCTGGACTGACAAAGCCTGTAGCAGAAATGAAGGCGTTGGCGGGAGGTGGCTACTGGTTCACCAGGTGCAGCAGGGAAAGATGCCAACTGACTGTCCCCCAATTTACAAACCTGCCTTGATTGTGCTAGATACCATGGCTTTGCAGATTTGGGGTGAGGAGCTGCCTGACATCTCTCTGACTCATGAGAAGTTGTAGGTGCTCACAGAAAAGAAGCGACTGGGCTTGTGCTGTGCTGTGTGAATTGCCCAGCCCTGACACTGTGCCTGCAGAAGGCTCCAGAGATCACATCAGGAAAGGAAAGCTGTATCCTGATGAGCCCCCCAACTTCCTGGAGCAGGTGAGGGTGCCTCTCTCCTGAGTCAGGACCCCCATGCTGGGCGGAGGCTGGGGCAGTGGAATCAGCCCCAGGTGCAATCCACTTCCCCTTGAGTCTGGTGCCTTGCTTCTCTGCCCTGGGCTGTTGTTGCTCAGACCCCGATGAGATTCAAGCCACAGAGGCTAAATGTTTGCTCAAGATGCAATTTTTGCTGGGGAAAAAGAATAAGTAAACCTTCTAGTTTCACTTAAAGTCAACTTAAAAATCCCTCCCTTTGGAGGTCACACAGCTGGGCGACACCTTCGTTTCTCATTAGCTTTGTTGGGTGACGCCTCTGACCTCAAGTGTGAGTTAAGGTGATAAAGGTTGCCAGGGCTACTCTTCAGGGACTGGAAAGCTGCTCTGGTGAGGAATACTGAGCTTCGTTGGACCTGCAGAGGTCTAACGGGTGACTGGAGTGGGACCTCTGTCTTCATGCTATGTCTCTCCCCTTTGCTGTCCTGACTTTTTCATTAGTCTCCTCTCGGCCCTGCACATACAGGTGTTGATGCCTGTTGAGCC